TGATCTCTAAGGTCCCTTCCAACTCTGTTAATCCCATCTCATCCTGTTTGAGCCATGGGGGCTGGACTAGATGACCACCAAGGCCCCTCCTAGCTCTATTCTAGTTTACTTCCTCTCCCGCCCCCCAAAAGAAAAACCCGGAATACATTTAGAAGCTAAGGAAACTCTGGGCTGGAGACCACGAGGAGACCCCGGTATCTAGGCTTCACCAGGAAGTTGAGAAGGCCAAGAGAAGGACGGAGACGCTCCCACAGGTGTGGCCAGGTGCATCCGGGCTGGGACAGGTGCAGCCCCCGTCCCGAGCCACTGGGGCGCCCCATCTCCTCCACCCCCGGCCGCCCATCGTCCTCAAAGGGCAGAAGCGACCCCTCCGCTCCTTCCTTGCCATTCCCCGCCACCACCACCCCCGCGCGCGCAGTACTCCGCTCACCTGTGCATCTACCTGGCCGAGCCCGAAGCCGCACCCACCGAGGGCGGCTGCCGCCAGGAACCCTGGGAGATGTAGTTTCCAGCAACCTCAACCCCCCCCCCCCCTTCCTTAAAGCATGCCTGGATGGGGCAGCCGGCTCGCTCTTCATTTGGGCGGGAAAGCCCCCCCCTCACAGAAATTGGGGAGGGGTCTCCCATCACGCCGGGAGGGGCGGCTGGCTCGCTCTTCATTTGGGTGGGAAAGCCCCCCCACCCAGGTCCCAGCTGGGGAATTCTGGGAGTTGAAGTCCACACTTTCCTCAAGCTGCCAAAATGGAGAAACTCAGCTATTCAGGTGGCTCTCGGCTTACTTCATTTAGTGGCCGAAGTTGCAACAGCCCTGGGAAAAAACAAGCCAGTGACTTACCACTGGTCCTCGCGTTTATGACCGTGGGCAGCATTCCCTTATGGGTCATGTGGTCAAGAGTCAGGCCCGGATTTTACAGGCCTGGGTTTTTTTGTGAAAGTTAAGGCTGTGTTGTGTGAACGCCAGACGAAATACACACAGACACGCACACACAACTGTCTTGCTTAGTGGTGGAAATTCTGGCCTTCAGTTTGTGGTCATTAAGTGGAGGGCTGCCCTTCTCTTGTGAGGCTTCCTTGCCGACAAGCTCTCCACACCGGGTTTGTCTGCGATGGCTCGGAAAGCTTGGCCAAACTACAAACCATCATTCAGGGTTTGGGGCCTGAATCTGCTGGCTTATGCAACTGACCCTGATTAAAAGTTAACCCAGGGTTTTTGGAGGACATGCCTCATTCAGATGGGAGTTTTCCGTGTGTCTAGCGTGAACTAGCATGCATTTGTTGGGGTTGGACTAGAAGACCTCCGAGGTCTCTTCTACCTCGGTTATTCTTGTTCCTTTCTGGGGGTTCACCAGTCCAAACAGAAGGGTAGATCAAATCAGGCACGGCAAAAAACAAAGATGGACACATACCCCCCCCCAAAAAAAAATTTGGTTGAGACACTTAAAAAAAAAAAGGATATGCAAAGACAACTAGGCCCGAGGCCACGTGAGCAACAACACGCCATGGAGAGGGGTTTTTATGGGGTGGATGGATTGGCCTTTAATGTTCGTTACCCAAACCACCATAAGCCCACTTTGGACATCCCCTCTTCTCCTTTTCCTCCTCCTCCTCCCTGCTTTGCACTCAAAGGTTTATTTCGTGCGGTACACCCAGTCGGTGTCTGGCGGGGTCTCAGCTCGGGACAGCCTGGGCTTTGCGCCGGCCGCCCTGCCTTCAGTCGGCGGGGCCCCCGCTTGCATGAGGGTGTTGACGATGTTGTGGAAACGGGGAGGACTCCCGGCCGACACCTGCAGCTGCTGCGTTGCGGGTGTGGGGGGCTCCGGCTCTCGTCCACGGCGCTGCTCGCGTGCCATGAACTCGGCCTGCTCGTCCTGGCTGAGAGTTCGTCGACGGTGGGCCCTTTCAGGCGTCGGCGAGCGACTCCCCGGTGGGGTCTGAGGGTGGACGGGGTAGATGTAGACTCGGGCAGGACGCTGGGAGTGCTGTCCAGGGGGTAGATATTCCGCCTCCTGGCCGCTGGCTATCGAACGCCTTTGGGCCTCCGCCGCTGCAGTCCGTCCGTATGGTTCGGTGGACACAAGGGTGTTCCGCCGGTCCTCAGTGGGGACATTAGTGAGCAGGTCGGACGTCCCTACGGCGACGTCTCGAAAACGAGGGCTGGGGTAGGCCGAGGGGGCTGAGGAGGTCCGGGGCCGGGGCCGGGGCCGGTTGTCGCATTCGCAGTTGTAATAACGGGGTGAGCAGCAGCATGGCAGATAATCAGGGCAGGAGTGGCGGTGGTGGCGGTGTTCCCGGCATCGGCATCGGAGGTGTCCGTTTTCCAAGTTCATGGTGACCTTGAGTGGTTCTAGGGTACACTGGAGGCAGCGCCGTGGTGGGGACCGGCTGCGTTGCCGCCGCCGTGGTGGGGGATCATCATTGGAGAATTGTAGCGATGGCTTTCGCAGGGACACTTTCTTCACTGGGCGGACAAGAACCAGCGGTTTTTCGGGTTCTGGAAAAGAAAGGAATAACTGTTGGCAAAATGGGCACGTGGGAAACGCAAGAGGCCAGGGTTGGGCGCTGCCACGCCGGTGTCAAAGCGTTGTGGCAGCCTCCGTAACTCTGTGGACACAGAGCCGGTGGGGGGTTCTCGAGCAAGATCGGACCTTGGGTTTCTCGTACGGGAATCCTTTTTACGGCGCGTCTTCAGGGAAAAAAAGATCTGACAGTTCAAAAAAGGGATAGGGGGGTTTACAGGTAGTCCTTGACTTACAAGGGTTCATTTAATGACCCCCCTCAAAGTTACGATGGCCCTGAAAAAAAGCAAATTAAGACCGTTTTTCACACTTACGACCGTTGCAGTCAAAATTCAGAGGCTTGGCCACTGACGTGTATTTATGATGGTTGCGATGTCTGGGGCGTCATGTCATCCCCTTTTTGTGACCAAGTCAATGGGGGAACAGGATTCGTTTAATGACCCTGTGACTAATTTAACAACGGCAGTGATTTACTTAACAATGCGGACAAGAAAGGTCGTGAAAGAGGACAAAACTCACTTAGCAACGGTCTGGCTTCACAACAGACATTTTGGGTTCAGTTGGAAGTCGAGGACTGCCTGTACACAGAGTGCAAACACACACACACACACACACACCGAACATTCCCTGCTGAAACCCCAGAAGGGACAAACGGCGAAGTTTGATCCTGTTCGTGTTCCATGTCTGAAGCCCCCAAACGTGGCCTCCGCACCCCCAATTTTGAGACCCCTAAAATGATGGAAGCAGGCCCAGCCCTGCCAGAGAAAGAAATGGTGCGTAATATTGCCATTTTAACAAGGGTTTTCAAGTTTTATTTTCATTTCATTCTACGTAGGTTCCTTGTTTTGTGTTGTTGTTTTGTTTTATACATACATATACATACATCATACAAACATACATATATACATATATTATATAAAGAAAGAGCAACAGTTTTAACATCTACATAAATGGCTTATTGTCTGGTTATGGTTAATTTGAGCAATAGCCATAATAATAAAAATAATAATAATATCATCATCATATTCATTCACAGTGATCATGGAATAACAATATTTTAATATCATTCTATTCTATATTTTTCCTATAATGTAATAACAATATTTTATTATAATTTTATTCTATATTTTGTTATCATGTAATAGCAATATTTTATTATAATTCTATTTTATATTTTTCTTATCATATAATAACAATATCTTATTATCATTCTATTCTATATTTTTGCTATCATATAATGACAATTTTATTCTATTATAATTCTCTTCTATATTTTTCTTATCATATAATAATATAATATAGAATAAGAACAGAATAAAATAATGAATAATGGAATGGGAATGGAATGGAAACTTTTATCACTCGCTTCTCTATTTACAAGAGAGATAACACTTCCTTCAAACTAAAATGTTGAGAGCCCTTTGGAAGCTATTAATAGATGTTAGT